GCGCGTGTGTGTGCGCCTGTGTGTGTGTGTGCGCGTCTGTGTGTGGGTGTGTGCGTGTGCCTATAATAGCAACAGTCCCCAACTTGGCCATCTGTAACCCCAACCCCACCCAGCAACGGTCACCATTCCAGTGGGCTGTAACCCCAGACACGTAGCAACGGTCACCATTCCAGTGGGCTGTAACCCCAGACACGTAGCAACGGTCACCATTCCAGTGGGCTGTAACCCCAGACACGTAGCAACGGTCACCATTCCAGTGGGCTGTAACCCCAGACACGTAGCAACGGTCACCATTCCAGTGGGCTGTAACCCCAGACATGTAGCAACACTCGCCATTCCAATGGGCTGTAACCCCAGACATGTAGCAACGGTCGCCATTCCAGTGGGCTGTAACCCCAGACATGTAGCAACACTCGCCATTCCAATGGGCTGTAACCCCAGACATGTAGCAACGGTCGCCATTCCAGTGGGCTGTAACCCCAGACATGTAGCAACACTCGCCATTCCAATGGGCTGTAACCCCAGACATGTAGCAACGGTCGCCATTCCAGTGGGCTGTAACCCCAGACATGTAGCAACACTCGCCATTCCAATGGGCTGTAACCCCAGACATGTAGCAACGGTCGCCATTCCAGTGGGCTGTAACCCCAGACACGTAGCAACGGTCGCCATTCTAGTGACCTGTAACCCCAGGCATCTAGCAACGGTCACCATTCCAATAGCCTGTAACCCCAGACACGTAGCAACGGTTGCCATTCTAGTGACCTGTAACCCCAGGCATGCATGTAGCAACGGTCGCCATTCCAGTGGGCTGTAACCCCAGACATGTAGCAACATTCGCCATTCCAATGGGCTGTAACCCCAGACATGTAGCAACATTCGCCATTCCAATAGCCTGTAACCCCAACCCCACCCAGCAACGGTCACCATTCCAGTGGGCTGTAACCCCAGACACGTAGCAACGGTCGCCATTCTAGTGACCTGTAACCCCAGGCATATAGCAACGGTCGCCATTCCAGTGGCCTGTAACCCCAGACACGTAGCAACGGTCGCCATTCCAGTGG